GCCAGGTGTGGTAGCGCATGCCTGTAATTCTGGCTACTCGGAAGGCTGAGGCTGAAGGATCGCCGGAGCCCAGCAGGTCAAGACTGCGGTGGCCGCGAGCGGCCACTGCACTCCAGTCTGGGCGACTGAGTGAGACTCCAACTCAAAAAAAAAAAAAAAGAACTAACCATAGACTCCAGTCTGGGCGACTGAGTGAGACCCCAACTCAAAAAAAAAAAAAAGAACTAACCATGGCTGGGCACGGTGGCTCAAGCCTGTAAACCCAGCACTTTGGGAGGCCAAGGTGAGGAGACTGCCTGAACCCATGGCTTCAAAAACAGCCCGGGCAACTTGGCAAGACTTCATCTCTACAATAAAGCAAAAATTAGCCAGGTGTGGTAGCATGAGCCTGTAGTTCTGGCTACTAGGAAGGCTGAAGTGGAAGGATCCCCAGAGCCCAGCAGGTCAACACTAGGGTGGCTGTGAGCATGCCACTGCACTCCAGCCTAGGTGACTGAGTGAGACTCCAACTCAAAAAAACAAAAAACTAACCATGAATAAACCTCATAGAGACTAAGTCATACTTACCACTGCTAGTGGTTTCAGAGGCTTCAGATGCAGTAGAAATATTGTCTGAAAATTTCTCTTCAGTGGTATTCACATAACTGAGGCTGCCTGCAATTCTATCTTCACCCTGCTCCGTAGGATATACTGCTATTCCAAACGAATATTTTCCTCCATTCATAACAGATGATGGCTCAATTACAACAGGACTGGCATCCTAAAATCATGAAGTCAGAGAACAAGAAGCAATATTTAATAATTTGACAATTAGGTAGCCTTCAGAAATGAATCCCATAATTATTTATTGTTTCTAATCTTCCTGTAGTTGGCTACAGACATTTAAAAACATTTTAAGGCCTGGCATGGTAGCTCATGCCTGCAGTCTCAGGACTTTGGGAGGTTGAGGTAGGAGGATTATTTGAGTCCAGGAATTTGGAATCAGCCTGAGCAATATAGCGAGATTTCATCTCAATAAAAAATTAATCAACTAATTAAAAACATTTTAATATATAACTGACTTCTAATATCTCTAAAGGGGAAAGTACGTATATAAATTGATATGGTAGACAGAACAGACAATGAAGGATTCTGTGCCAAATAAAGTAATTTAGACTTTATTCTGTAGAAGTCTTTTTAAATATTAAAAAGTAAAATTCATAATTTTTATTATTAAGATTCTACATGGTCACCGTAGAAAATATAGAAAGTATGAAGAAAATAAATATCATGTACTCAGATTTCATCATTTAGCAATTAACTATAATTGACATTTTAACGTGTTTTATTTCTTGTGACTGAAAAAATATATGCATATGTAAAAGATGAGTGGCATATGTAAATAGTTAGAATTAAGGACAAGGCCATAACTTACCAGATATGTGACCTTTAATAATACCTAAACTTGGCCAGGCTCAGTGGCTCAGCCTGAGCCTGAGGTTCGAGACCAGCCTGGGCAACTTGGCAAGACCTCGTCTCTACAATAAATCAAAAATTAGCCGGACATGGTAGCGTGCGCCTGTAGTTCTGGCTACTTGGAGGGCTGAGGCGGAACAATTGCTGGAGCCCAGCAAGTCGACAATGCGGTGGCCGTGAGCGTGCCACTGCACTCCAGCCTGAGCGATGGAGTGAGACTCCAACTCAAAAAAAACCCAAACAATATTCTGGCTTGAAATATACAGACATTTAAGTCTAATGCTTGGGATAGAAAAACAGGCTGGATATAAAGATTTGGTGGCTCATTAGACTTCCTTCATCCTTCAGCACAAGAAAATAGTATTTGCAGAGTGAAAAGAATAATATTTATAGGATAGTTGGTGGAAGAAACTTTTTAGGGAAAATGAATCTAATGGTCAGAAAGGCAAAGAAAAATTAGGAGATTGTAAAATCACAGAGGCAGAAACTGCTAGTGCAGAATTGTTTTTCATCAAATTTAACAGTGAAAAAAACAAAAAAAGACAAGACTTGAGGGGAAGGGAAGGTGCTGTAAGAATGTGTATCTGTAAGTGTTTCAAAGAGAGGGATCAGAATACTGTCAGTGACTAAGAGAGTAAAGAGAAAGACTAAAAAGACTAACCAGTAGAACAAGATCCCACAGGCATCTGAAATGACAGGGCAATAGCATGGGTGGAAACCAATGAATGTGGGTCTTAAGTCACTGTTTATAAAGTCACTAAGTATAACATTACATTTAAAAGACAAATTCCAAGTCACACTATATCAACAGCATAGCTGATACTTTTTTTTTCAAAACAGTTATAACATCCCAAACTTTAGCCAACATAGACATTGATTAACATTTTATTAGCTGTTTTCTCCTTTTTGATCTGTAAACCAACTGAATATTATCCTTTAGAAGTCAGCTCTGGAGAAATTCCAGTGCCATTAATTAAGACTGTCAAGAAGAACTAGAACAAAACTTTGGCTTCTTTCACCTACCAATTAACTTTATTGGATTTAAAATGTTAAATAGCAATACAGCCTTATTGTCAAAACTCCAAACAATTCAGAAATATAAATATTCACATTCTGTAAGAGATTCAAATGTTAGCATTTCCAGGTAATTACCAACTTTCTTAATGTAAGGGAAAAGTACAGTGAAAAAAAGTCATTTCCTATTCAAATCTCTTTCAATTCTCTGATTACTTCAAGGAAATGTTCTCTCAGCTTGGTACTAATGTGCTAATCTAACACTTGATCATTTCTTTTTAACAAAGAGAGAATAGTCCTCAACAGCAAAGTCTTCAAAAGGCAACACTAATTAGCTGGAATTTAATAATATTATTACCTTCTATTTCTGGCACGTGATACTAATTTTCTCTTAAAATGATGGCATAGAATTTCCTTTAAAATACATTTAAATAGCTAATTGATCACAACCAGTTACAGATTTTTTTTGTTCTTTCTCCACTCCCACTGCTTCACTTGACTAGCCAAAAAAAGTAAAAATGGTGACATTATATATGTGTGGTGTGTGTGTATACATAATATATATGTATATATATATTTTTGAGTTGGTATCTCACTCTGTCACCCAAGAGTGCAGTGCACCCAAGAGTGCAGTGGCACGTTCATTGCCACCTCAGCCTCCACCTGCTGGACTTAGGCAATACTTCCACAACAGCCTTCCAAGTAGCTGGAACTATAGGTACATGCCACCACGCCCGGCTAATTTTTTTGATTTATTGTAGAGATGAGGTCTCGTCAAGTTGCCCAGGTTGGTCTCGAATCCCTGTGCTCAGGCAATCCTCTCATCTCGGTCTCCCAAAGTGCTGGGATTACAGGTGTGAGCCACTGTGCCCAGCTTATATATGTATTTATAAGCTTTTTTTTTTTTTTAAAGTTGGGATCTCACCTGTTGCCAGGCGGAGTGCAGCGGCACAACATGGTTCACCACAGCCTCAAGCTCCTGAGTTCAGCCAATTCTTCCACCTCAGCCTCCCAAGTAGCAGGGATTATAGGCGTATGCCACTATGTGTGGCTAATTGTGTGTGTGTGTGTGTGTGTGTGTGTGTGTGTGTGTGGAGATGAGGTCTCACTATATTGTCAAGACTGGTCTCAGACTCCTGGTCGCAAGCAATCTTGGCCTCTCAAAGTGCTGGTATTACAGGCATAAGTCATGGTGTCCAGACTGTTTATATAAACTTGTATTAAACAAATATTGTATGGACATTATATGGGAAAATTGGTGACTACTATAAACAAATTATTAAGAACTGGGAGTCTATTTTAAATATAGATTTTGAAGCATTAATGTTTTAAATTAGAATGTTCACCAAAGAAGTAGAAATGTTACAGACAAGAGAACAACAGAACCAAACTCACCTATATCAAAAAGAAGTATAAATGTATATTAGACCTAAGTTACTTATTTTCTTAAAGATAATACTGAGCTCCTCACAGCTTTTCTAATACTGAATCCATACAAACATAAAATACATTAAATTTAAATTAGGTTTCAAAAGAAAATTTTCAGTAAACATTAATGATTTATTATTTAAATCAATTCAACCTTTTTCTTTAATTATGCTTTCTGATTTATTTGGTCTAGAGTGGAGCAAAGGCATTGATTTTTTATTTTTAAATTTTCCATGTAATTCTGCCATGCAGCCAGAATTGATAACCATTGCCCTAGTAAGGATTATAATCTCATGCATTTGTTTTCATAATGTGCTCCAGATGCTGAGAACTTAATAATAGATTTCTTATTAAATCTATTACTTGCCCTGGAACTTGCTTTAAGAAAAAAGATTCAGATTTTAATTAGCTTTTGGATCATTTGCTTCTTTCCCATAAAGATGAGCCAAGACAGACAGCATAGTCATTTTAAAAGAGTAACAGTGCCACCTTCCAGAAAACTTAAAGTCTTCCCCCAAGTTACTTTGTTTTCTTTCAGAACAATCACTTTATTCTTGCTGTGTTCTTGAACTTGAATGATGTCTGCATAACTATCATATCATTAGTAGGCAATTCCTTTATAAATTTATACTCACTTCTCTATTCCATTTATATCAAGTTTATCATGCCTATGGTTCCAGCTACTTGGAAGGCTGAAGTGGAAGGACCACCAGAACCCAGCAGGTCCACCAGCACCCATGAGCGTGCCACTGCACTCCAGCCTTGGCAGAGTGAGACTCTGAGAGAGAGAGAGAGAGAGAGAGAGAGAGAGAGAGAGAGAGAGAGAGAGAGCGCGCGCGCGAGCTATACGGAAACAACAGATGCTGATGCTGTTTTTTGTTTTTTTTTTTAGTCGGAATCTCACTCTGTCGCCCAGGCTGGAATGCAGTGACACGCTCACAGCCACCCCAGCGTCAACCTGCTGGGCTCCAGCAATCCTTCCACCTCAGCCTTCCAAGTAGCTGGAACTACAGGCACGCTACTGCGCCCGGCTAACTTTTGATTTGTTGTAGAGAGGTCTGGCCAAGTTGCCAGGGCTGGTCTCAAACCCCCAGGCTCAGGCAATTCACTTGCCTTGGCCTCCCAAAGTGCGATTACAAGTTAAGCCACCTAGTTCGGCCTGGTGTCTACATTTCTAAAGAAAATTTACATGAAACCATTCCTGTAAGAATGTTTCTTATGCTGAAGAACTAGTCCATAGGTTGAATTTATAGATATCACTGCCAAGAAGACAGAACATTAAAAACATGACCAGATGTTAAATTTAGTTAGGTTGAATTTTATAATAATTTGTGAATAGAATAATTGCAGCAGCTTTCCAGAGGCTGCAATATTTGCCCCAGTGATTATGATCTGTATCATATGCTTTTAAAATGGCATAGTAAATACCCTTTACACTTGGAGAATATGAGCTTTTCTTCACTTCTTTCCCAATGCTCCAAACAAATGACAGTGGTCTGTATTCTCACTGCCTTTGGCTTTCTTTTCTTTCATTTTTCTCCCCTTCCTTTTTTTGAGTTAGGGTCTTACTCTGTCATTCAGGCTGGAGTATAGTAGCTCTATCATGGTTACTATAGCTTCAACCTGCTGGGTTCAGGTGATCCTTCCACCTCAGCCTTCCAAATAGCTGGGACTACAGGTGTGCAACACTACACTTGGCTGATTTTTTATTTACTGTAGAGACGAAGTCTTGTCATGTTGCCCAAGTTGGTCTTGAACTTCCCAGGTTCAGGTAATCCTCTCACCTTGGCCTCTGAAAGTGCTAGGAATACAGGCATGGGCCACCGCATCCAGCGGCTTTCTTTTCTAAGATAGGAATCTGTTGTTTTCAGTGTCCTCTGCTGCCAGAAACTGTCACCACTACTCAGGTTCTTTCTTCTCCCTCTTCCACCACCCTCATGTTTCTTGTTATTCCTTCCACCTTTCTCAGTTTTTAGTGGAATATTGATAGCTAACCTTTTCATTTAACTAATCTTTTTTTTGAGTCAGAGTCTCACTCTGTTGCCCAGGCTGGAGTGCAGTGGCATGCTTATAGCTACTGCAGCCTCGACCTGCTGGGCACAGGTGATCCTCCTGCCTCAGACTTCCAAGTAGCTGGAACTACAGGTGTGTGCCACCACCCCCAGCTAATTTTTTGATTTATTGTAGAGACAAGGTCTCACCAAGTTCCGCAGGCTGGTCTCAAAACCCTGGGCTCAGGTAATCCTCTTGCCTCTGCCTCCTGAAGTGCTGGGATTACAGGTGTGTGCCACCACCCCCAGCTAATTTTTTGATTTATTGTAGAGACAAGGTCTCATCAAGTTCCGCAGGCTGGTCTCAAAACCCTGGGCTCAGGTAATCCTCTTGCCTCTGCCTCCTGAAGTGCTGGGATTACAGGTGTCACCGCGCCTGTGGCTAATCATTTAACTAATCTTATTACTACTTTCCTTCTATATGTTGAGCAAACCAATTACAATTATATAATTAGTTTTTTTTTGACTGTTGTTTGCTTCTGGCTGCTCTGGGAAATTTTTGTTTTTCTAAAACTTCAAAGGATCCAGTTTTATTTTTACTGACTTCTAGATCTGAACTATTCAAAATCATCCTAGAAGTCTGATTTTCAGGAAGATAGATTTCTAGATAGGTAAAGTTTCACCTGAGTGAGAAACTTTCTCACATTCTCTGAGTCAACAATTCTTAAGAGGGCATCGAGGTATGTACTTTTATATAAGAAAATTCTATTTTGAGAATTTTATTACTCCCTCTGTGTATGAATAATTTATATTTTCCAAAATATGGGTCAAGATTCACCTTTCTCTCTACTGATGAGACTATTTCTTTTTTATGCCATATACATATGTATGCTATAACTATTAATGATCTTAAATAATAGTTATTTCAATTTTATATTTCATTAGTCTGAAATGCTGGTTTTGGAAAAATAGGAAGCAGTATGGGGTAATGGAAAAAGTAATAAGGCAGGAATCAGAGAGCTGAGCTCTAGAGGTAATAAACTAATTGTCTAATACTACTTTGGGCAATTATAAAACCTAAAAGGGACCCCAGAGGCTTCATTTGTAAATTTAGAGAAAAGAGGTGCTTAAAAGTACTTTCTAGCTCTAAAGTTATATGATAACTAAATAGGAAAACCTGTACATGAATAATCATAGCTGCTCCCTCATAGTTCTCAAAAAGGAAGAAAGATACACTTTTTTTTTTTTTTTTTTTTGAGTTGGAGTCTCACTCTGTCACCCAGACTGGAGTGCAGTGGCCGCTCCCGGCCACCGCAGCCTTGACCTGCTGGGCTCCGGCGATCCTTCTGCCTCAGCCTTCCGAGTAGCCGGAATTACAGGCGTGTGCCACCACGCCCAGCTAATTTTTTGATTTATTGTAGAGATGAGGTCTCGCTGCCCAGGCGGGTCTCGAACCTGCGGGCTCAGGCAATCCACTCACCTCAGGCTCCCAAAGCACGGGATTACAGGCTGAGCCACCGAGCCCGGCTGAAAGATACACATTTAGCTGCAATGATGATAAACAGATTTCACCATTCCTCCTTATTTAAATTTTTACAGAAGGAGATTCCATATGGAATAAGAAAATCTTGGCACAATCAACAGGGAAAGCAGACAACCAATCAAATATTCATTATCTAGTGAATCATAGCAAATGTGGGGTTAACCACTCCTGAGAAAGGATGGCTTATTTTCTTGCTCACTTGGTCTCTGACCTTTCCATACAGTCATGCCACTATTTGAAACATACACTGCCCTCACAGACAACTAATAATTCACATAAGCAAATATGTGATCTTGTGAAGAGAGAACACTCACTAAAGCTAAGTAATATCTTAAGTAGGTAGATGAAGCCCTGAGTAAAGTCAAATTATCTGACATATCAACATTAATTTTTTAAAAAATGAGGCATTTGTCACAGTTGTCACATGGACTGGAAAGAGAAATTTCAATCATTAATTGCTATTGCTGTTGTTGCTACAACTCCCACTATTACTACCTTTAACCTTATTTAAGGTTTTTATCTGCCCAGCACTGAGCTAAGTGCTTCACATATATTAACTCATTTAATCCTCATAACACTCCTATTGAAATAGATATTACTATTAATTCAATTGTTCATAAGTGAAAACTGAGGTAGAGAAAGAACAAGTAATTAATTCAAGGTTATACAGCAAGTGGCAGGGCCAGGAATCCAAGCTCACTAAGATTAACTTATTCTGGTTTCTTATAATGATAGCTAACCTTTAGTTAACACTTATTTAGTACTTATTACACCCCAGACACTTTTAAAACACTTAACATGTATCAAACTCATTTAATTCTTACAACATTCTATGAAGGAGATTATTCTAATTTTATAGATGGAGAGACTAAGGTCCAGAGTGTCACTTTTCAAAAAGGTTATTTGCATTTAAAATGAAGTTACTTTTTTTTATTAAAGAACATTTTTCTAATTAAACCATATGTTTAGAAAGGACTGCTATTAATCCACTTAGACTTTTTCTCCATCTTATTGAATAAGTTGCCATCGTTCTCCACCTCCTCCTCCTCCATTAAACTGATACTCTCTTCCCAGATTTCTCATAACTACGAGTTAGGCTTCCTTTTAAAGCAGATTTTAAAGTTTGCATTTGATAGACACACACTAGACAATAATATGCATAGAGTACTAGAGTAGGGAAAAGAATCTGTAGATTCTCCTCTGTACATCTCTCCTTACTACCCTCCCCAAACTCTTTAGTGACAAAAGGGTTATGGCAGTCAAGAACAAACTGGGTTCATGGTCTTGTGAGTGCACTTCTGTCTGTTTGTAAGGGACATGCTACTAAGAGGAAGACCTCTATTCATGTTCCTACAGTAAACAAAAAGTGATACATCCAAGACAAAACTAGGTTATTCTTTGAGTATATACTCAATAAGACATTAATAACCACTCACCGTAAGGCCAAGCTATGAATATAAAGACCACAAAAGTATTTCAAAATAAAGATTGATGTTGTACCCCAATGTTTTCGTTTTGATCTGTACTCACCATCGTGATTCACTTATAAGGTCCTTCAAGTCATTTAGCACACAGCCTAGCCCACGCAAGTATCATATAAACATGTATTTCCTTTCCCTTCAAATCTTTACCAAAGTTGGAGAATTTTATTACTGTCCAGTAGTCATATAAAGTCTGTTGGAGTTGAATACCCTATGAAAAATATAAATAGATGGAATCTAACTCACGTATTTGACATATTCTTTCCATTGTTGCCACCACTGCATAGAGATGATAAACCAATTGTGTCCTGGTTGCAGACCATACCTGCTCTCTCGTTCTAACCATCCTCTGTACATACAAAAGAAATGCAATACATCAAATAAAGTGTGAAAAAGATAACAACACACACAATTATCATTAGAAGTTTTGGAAAAAACAACACAATAACACACCAAGACACAAACAGAGATACTCATGAGAGAGTGCCACAATTGAATTAGTAAAACATTCTTGTTTCCATTGATAAGCCAGTATCAAGAGTCACTACTATCAAGCACCATACTGACATTTTAAAAATAGCTTTATTGGGAAATATTTTACATAATATAAATTTTACCTGTTTTAAATGTACAACTCAGTGATTTTGGTAAATTTACAGGTGTGTGCACCCACCATAACCTAGTTTTATAACATTTTGGGTATTTCAATTAACCTAAAAAGATCCCCTGTACCCATTTAAAGTAAATCTCTGTCCCTACCCTCAGCAATAGGAAACCACATGCGAACGATTTCATATAAATGTAATAATGAAGCACACGGTTTCTTGGCTTCTTTTACTTTGCAAAATGTTTTTGTGGTTCATTTATTGTTGTAGCAGATATAAGTTGTTTGTACTTTATTACTGAATAGTATTTTATTGTATGTATATACTACATTTTGTTTATTCATCCAAGAGCTAAAGCACATTTGAAACTGGTAAACCAACTTCAAAGTAGTTGTGCCACTTAATATTCCCATCAGCAATTCTAGTTTTGTCACATTTTTTGCTAATACTTGTTACTTTCAGTCTTTTCTAGTGGGTTTGAAGTGATGTTACATTATGATTCTTAAAAAAACCATTTTAGAGGTGAAAATAACATGAAATTAATGATTTTAAAGCATACAATTCATTGATACTTAGTACATTCAAAATGTTATGCTACCAAAACTTTTTATTGTTCCAAAACATTTTCATATACTTCAATTAGACAGTCATCCATCATTTGATTATTCAACATTGCCTACCTTTGACAACTACCAGTCTGCTTTCTGTACCTACTGATTTGCCTATTCTGGATGTTTCATGTAAAACAAATAATTCAATATGACCTTTTATGTCTGTCTTCCTTCACTTAACATGTTTGTGAGGTTCATCCATTTTGTGGCTTGTATTAATACTTCATTCCCTTTTATGGATGAATAATATTCCATAGTATGTAACATGTTTTGTTTATCCATTCATCCACTGATAGACATATAGGCTGTTTGACCGTTTGGCTACTGTGTATAGTGGTGCTATAAACATTGTATCCAAGTATTTGTTTGAGTACCTGTTTCCAATTATTTGGGTATATACCTACAAGTGGAATTGCTGGGTCACATGGTAATTCTATGTTGAGGAACTGCCAGACTGTTTTCCACAGTGACCAACCACCATGTTACATTTCCACCAGTAATATATGAGAGTTCTAATTCCTTCACATACTCACCAAAACTTTCCATTTCAAAAATTATAATGATACAAGTAGGTAAAAAGTAGAATTTTATTGTTTTGATGTGCATTTCCTTCATGACTAATTACAGTAAGCATCTTTTCAAGTGCTTGATAACCACCTGAACTTCTCTGGAGAAATGTGCATTCAAGTCCACTTTTAGTTGCCTATATTTTAATGGGGTTGTTTGGTTTTTGTTAAGTTGTATATGTTCTGAGATGTTCAAAAGTTTTCAATTTTGATGGAATCAAATTTAATTTTTCTTTAGTTGCTCATGCTTTTGGTGTTACATCTAAGAATCTATTGTAAAATCCAATACTTTTAGAAGAAATAGTTTTGTTGAATATAAAGTTCTTGGTTACAGTTTATTTTACCCTTTCAGCTCTTTCTTAAAAAAAAAAAAAAAAATACGACTCCTAGATTTCATGCTTTCTGATGAGAAAAATGCTGTTCATCTTACTGATGATCCCTTGTAGGTGACAGGTAACTGCTTTCTTGCTTTCAAGATTCTTTTCTTGGTTTTTGACAATTTCATTACAATGTGTCTCAATGTGAATCTCTGAATTTACTTACCCTTCTTGAAGTCCACTGAGCTTTCTGAATGTTCATATCTTATGAATTTGGAGAAGTTTTTGGTAATTATTTCTTCAAATATTCTGCCCCTTTCTCTTCCTCTCCTAAAATTCTTTTGTTGACACACATGATGCAGTTCTACAGGTCTCTTAGGCTCCACTTATTTTGCTTCATTTTTCTTTCTGTTCTCCAGTCAATAATTTTAATTGACCTATCTTTAAGTTCCATGTTTCATTCTTCTGCTTGCACAATTCTAATGGTGAACCCTTCTAATGAATTTTTCATTTCAGTTATTGTGCTCCTCCGCTTGAAAATCTGTGTTTGGTTCCTTTTTATACTTTCTATCTCTTTAATGATATACTCTATTTGTGCATACATCTTTCTCGTGGCTGCCTTTAATTTGTTGTCTGTAACTTCTACTAGCTCTTTTAACATATTTAAGATAATTGATTTAAAATCTTTGTCTACTAAGTCTGAGCTTCCTCAGAGAGAATTTCTGTGACTTTCCTCTGTAAAGGGTCTAGACTTTCTTGTTTTTGTAGCTTTTAGCTGAAAACTAGATTTTTTTTTGAGTTGGAGTCTCACTCTGATGCCCAGGCTGGAGTGCAATGGCATGCTCAAGGCCACTGTGGCCTTGACCTGCTGGGCTCAGGCAATCCTTCCACCTCAGCCTTCCAAGTAGCCGAAACTACAGGAGTGATCCACCACACCCAGCTAATTTTTAACTTACTGTAGAGATGAGGTCTCGCCAAGTTGCCCAGGCTGGTCTCAAACCCGTGGGCTCAGGCAATACCCTCACCTCACCCTCCCAAAGTGCTGGGATTACAAGCTTGAGCCACCGTGTCTGGCTGCTTTTGTTTATTTCTATAGCTGTCTGTTACTTTAGTGACTTTTCCAAAATATTTTTTGCAAAGTCTATATTCTCTGTTATATGTAGTTTCTTAAGTCTCTCCTCATTTTGGTTGTATTCAGCTAGTATTTTAACAGATTTCCTAGAATGGCAGAAGGAAAGACAAAGATAAAAACCACTACTGTCCTTGCAGAAATGGCTCTGTGCTGGGGCATTCCTACAATGCTCAGCCAGGCTGTTAGCAACTATGGCTTAGGCTTCACTATCTGTATGTCCTTAGTCTAGAGATCAGCCAGTGGTGAAAGCTTAGGGGTCTTATAAGGTCTTTTCTGAGTGTACATCTTGCTGTAGGCATGTGGAAGGCTTTCTAAATTCCTCAGTATACCAGTTTGCCTTTAAATTTCCCAAGGAAATCCTCAGTTTTCCCTCCCAGACTTTTAGCACTCTATTTTATACCTCAACTAAAAACTCTTGCCCCAGGTAGCTGTGGGGTACTCATTTGCCTTATAGTGCTTGTGAGGAATACCCCTGCTCTTCTGTCCTGGGTAATGTCTAAGTTAAGTATAGCAGAGTTGAACATCTTACGGCAGTTTTTCTAATAGCCCAAGCATGCTTAGAACAGGTAAATACAACTCTTTATGAATAATGTGTGCTCTGCTTCCTCTGAAACCAGGGTCCAGATACCCACATTGGGAATGTGGGCTGCCATTTTCAAGACTGCCACTCAACTAGGCAAGGGAGGGCAATTATAAATGCCACAATTGATTTTTGAAAAATATTCAATATTTGCTTGGTTGTTGTAAATCTTAATTCTTTTACAGAGTTCTGATGAAGTTGATTTTGACAGTTTGTATTTATTGTTCAATGTTTTTGTGCAGAGACAGGCAATCAGAAGTACCTATTATACAATTCACAGATTTACTCCTCCTACTGTGCTTATAATTTGCCTTTCTGAAGAAGCTGAACACCTTTTCATGTATGTACCCAGACTAGCCATTTATATATGTATGGCAAGATGTATATTCAACTCTTCTGCACATTTTAAATAAGATTTTAAAAAAATATGTTGTAACAGCCCTTTATACATTCTGGATACAAGTTCTTTATCAGATGTATAATTTGCAAATATTTTCTCCCAGGCTGTGAGGCTATAGTTTTTCCTTTTTTCCCTTTCTTTGTTTATCTATTCATTTTTTTGAGTCAAGGTCTCACTCTATTACCCAGGTTGGAGTGTTAGTGGTACAATCACAGTTCACTGCAACCTTGATCTCCTAGACTCTGGTGATTCTTCCGCCATAGCCTCTCAAGTAGCTGAGCCTACAGGTGTGTACCACCACACCTGGCTAATTTTTTGATTTTTTTGTAGAGATGAGGTCTTGTTATATTGCCTTGAACTTCTGGGCTCAAACAGTCTTCCTACCTTGGTTTCCCAAAGTGTTGGGATTACAGGCATGAGTTACTGCACCCAGCCTGGTTTTTCATTTTCTTAATGGTAGGTACCTCTTGAATCTCAAGTTTTCAATTTTTTCTAAAACCTATCACTTTTTAAAAACTTATAAATTATGCTTTTGAGCCGGGTTCGGTGGCTCAGTCTGTAATCCTGCACTTTGGGAGGCTGAGGTGAGTGAATTGCCTGAGCCCACGGGTTCGTGACCTGCCCTGGGAACTTGGTGAGACCTCATCTCTACAATAAATCAAAAATCAGCTGGATGTGGTAGCGCGCGCCTGTAGTTCCAGCTACTTGGAAGGCTGAGGCAGAAGGATCGCCGGAGCCCAGCAGGTTGAGGCTGCGGTGGCCGGGAGCGGCCATTGCACTCCAGTCTGGGCAACAGAGTGAGACTCCAACTGAAAAAAAAAAAAAATTATACTTTTGGTGTTATAAATAAAAACCCCTCTCCTAACCCCAAATCACAAAAGTTTTCTACATTATTTTTTATTCTATAAGTGTTACAATTTTAGCTCTCATGTTTAGGTCTATGGGATCCATTCTGAGTACATTTTTCAGCATGATGTGAGGTAAGGAGTCTAAAATAATCTTTGCAGTGGCTATTCACAGATGATCACCGTGAATGTGTACTAAAACGCTGAACTCCTATGTTCAAGAGATCTTCCTGCCTCAACCTCTTGAGTAGCTGGGACTACAGGCCCACACCACTGTGCCTGACTCGTCCTATACCATTTTTTTTGAAAGTCAATCTTTTCTCTAGTAAATTTCCTTGGCATCTTTGAAAAAAATTAAATTGACTAAAAATATAAAGGTTTCTTTTTGAACTGTGAATTCAGTATGATTAATCTCTATGTCTTGCCTTATATCAGTAGGTGATTAAGGTAGCCTTAGGTAAATTTTGAAATTCAGAAGTTTAAGTCTTCCATTCTCTGTCATTTAAAAAAGTTGTTTAGGCTAGTCTGAGTTATTTGCATTTCTATATAAAAATTAAGAACAACTTGTCAATTTACTTTTTAAAAGCTGAAATTTGATTGAGAGTATGTTGAATCTATACATTAATTTGGAAGAATTAACATCTTGACAATATTCCATGAAATCCATGAACACTGAATCTCTCCATTTACTTAGATTTTCTTTAAATTCTGTCAGCAATATTTTAATTCACCTTTTTTAAAATTTACTTTTTCATTAAAAATTTTTATCATCAAATTTTAAAAAAATTGATATATAGTAACTGTACATATTTATGGGGTTCATGTGATATTTTGATATATGCATACAATGTGTAATAATCAAATAGGGTAACTAGAATATTTATCTCAAATATTTATCATTTCTTTGTAATGGGAACATTCAAAATTTTCTCTTCAAGGTATTTTGAAATATACAATATATTATTATTAACTATAGTCATCAACTATACTAGTAAATAGAAGCTATTCCTTCTGTCCAACTTTATTTTTGTACCTATTATCCAATCTCTTTTTATCCTTCTATGCCCCCCTTCTCACCTTCTGGTAACCATCATAATGCTCTCTAACTCCATGAAATCAACTTTTTAGCTCTCATATATTAATCAGAACACATGGTATTTGTCTTTCTAAGCTTGACTTGTTTCACATAATGAGCTAGAGTTTCATCCATGTTGCTGTAAACAACAGAGTTTCATTTTTTCAAGGCTCAGTAACATTCTATTGTGTATAAACACCACATTTCCCTTACCCATTCATCTGTTGATGAACACAAACTGATTCCCTATCTTGGCTATTGTAACAGTGATGCAATAAACATAGGAGTGCAGATAACTTTTCTATATGATACTCATTTCCTCTCTTTTGGATATATACTAAGCAGTGGCATTGCTAGATAATATGGTAGACCTATTTATAGTTTACTGCAGAATCTCCGTACTGTTTTCCATAGTGATTGTACTAATTTACATTCCCACCAATAGTGTACTAGCATCTCCCTTTCTCCAGATACTCACTAGAATTTTTGTTTTCCTAATAAGAGCCATTTTAACTGGGATGACATAATATCTCATTGTAGCTTTGATTTGCATTTCTCTGATGATTGGAGATGTTGAGCATTGCTTCATACACTTGTTGACCATTTGTATGTCTTTTGAAAAGTGTCTTCAGATCACTTGCTCATGTTTTAATTGAATTATTTGGCTTTTTTGGTAATGAAGTTGAGTTCCTTATATATTCTGGTTATTAATCCCTTGTTGGAAGGATTGTTTGCAAATATTTTCTCCCCTTCTGTAAGTTGTTTCTTTATGCTGTTGACTGTTTCCTTTGCTTTATAGAAGCTTTTTAGTTTGATAAAATTCAATTTGTCTATTTTTGCCTTGGTTGTCTATGCTATTGAGGTCTTACCCCCCAAAATTCTTTGCCCAGACCAATGTCCTAAAGTGTTTCCTCAATGTTTGCTTCTAGTAGTTTCATGTCTTAGATTTAAGTCTTTGACGCATTTTGATTTGATTTTTTAGAATGGTGAGACAGGGGTTTAGCTTCACTCTTCTGCATATGTATGTCCAGTTTTCCCAGGAACATTTATTATATGTTCTTGGTTCCTTTGTTAAAAATGAGTTGGTTGTAAATGTGTGAATTTATTTCTGGGTTCTCTATTCTGTTCCATTGGTCTACATATTTGTTTTGATGCCAGTGCCATCCTGTTTTGGTTATAATATTTTGTAGCATATTTTGAAGTCAGGCAATAATCTACCTTCATTTCTGCACAGTAGTTTTGCTGATAAATAATTCTGTGTTGACAGTTATCGTTGTTGATTTCTGCCCACTTTCAGCACTTTGTCATACTACTGCCCATTGGCCTCTATTGTTTCTAAAAAGGAAGTCAATTGTTAATCATATTGTGGTCATAGCTCACTGCAGCCTCAAATTCCTGGGCTCAAGTGATTCTCCCAACACAGTTTACTGAATAACTAGGACTACTAGCTACTCAGCTACTAGCTGAGAATACTAGTTAGGATAATTTTTTACAAAATTTTTTTTTGTAGAGACAGTGTCTCACTATATTGCCCAGGTTGGTCTTGAATTCCTGGCCTCAAGCAATCCTCCTACCCCAGAGTGCTGTATTACAGGTATGAGCCACCATGCCTGGCATCTTTGTTAAAATTTTGACTGGCCTGTTGGTCTGCTGCTTCTCTTAACCAGTATCTCATCCCCAAGCTGGTGATGTCAGTCTTCCCTTATTGTTTACTACCATGATCTCATGTATTTATTTACTTAGCAATATTCTTGAGCAGACATTTGTCCCTGCTCTACTCCAAGTAAGCCCTTCCTGACCTGCCCTGGTAGAACTATCATGCAGACTTTCTAGATGAGAGAAAATGAAAGCAGCTTCAGGTTAAATTACCACTAGCTAATTATTTCAAATTATCATAAAAGAAGGCTATTTACTGATATATAAAAGTATTATTTTGTATAATCCTAGAGTAAAAATAGAAGCAGGGAATAAAACAGTATTTCAGAATATTCCCATTTCTATAAAAATTTCACAATTATCACTGTGAACATGTATTTCAATGGTATGTGACTATTAATAATGTCATCAGCAATTATAAGTACAGAGAATATGGACTTTTTGCTTTGCTCTATTTTCTAATATTTCTACAGTAAGCATGAATTGTTTTTATACTAAAGAAAACTGGTTACCTTTTATCTTATAAAATGTCTTTTATTTCAAAAAACTGAATTTAGTAATCAGTGCAATTTTAATGTTAAATGGAACCTGACTCCTAAATTAATCTATCCCCCTTGTCTAGGAAGGTACTTTACCAAAAAAATTTCATATGTAATTATTTTTTAGAAACAGGACTCCACTCTAATGATTACATTAAAATAAAACATGCTGTTACTTAGAAACATATCTATTCCAAGTGTTTGAAATTTCAATTACTTAATAAAAAATACACAGACTGACACTACAAATTTACCTAATAATTTGTCCTTCTTCTTCCGGAGTAGCTGGTCTTAACCCCAGAACTATATGACATACCTAGGGAAAAAATGGTAAATTAAACTTTATTAACTACATAGTATTTCACATTCTCTGCATGAAATTCACTTTTTAGATGGGAATCTACATTAGCAACTGCTTTCCTTTCAACTGATTAAGTATCAATGCTTCACCTGAGTACACTTTAACTTTAGATGTGCAATTTGTGGGTTTTTTTTTTTTTGAGTTGGAGTCTCACTCTGTTGCCCAGACTGGGGTGCAGTGGCCACTCCCAGCCACCGCAGCCTCAACCTGCTGGGCTTCGGCGATCCTTCTGCCTCAGCATTCCGAGTAGCCGGAATTACAGGCATGCGCTACCACATCTGGCTAATTTTTTGATTTTATTGTAGAGATGAGGTCTCGCCTGCCCAGGTGGGTCTCAAACCCACAGGCTCAGACAATCCACTCACCTCAGCCTCTCAAAGGTGCGGGATTACAGGCTGAGCCACCGAGCTCGGTTTGTTTTTAATTTAATTTAATTTTGAGGCAAGGTCACACTCTATCACCCAGGCTGGAGTGCAGAGGCATGATTCTGGCTCACCGCAGCCTTGACTTCCTAAACTCAAGTGATTGTCCCATCTCAGTCTCCAAAGTAGATAGGATTATAGGCACATGTCAATATGCTTTGCTAATTTTTATTTTAATTTTTTGTAGAGATGAGGTCTCACTATGTTGCCCAGGCTCAAACTCCTGGGCTCAGGAGAGCCTCCTGCCTCGGTCTCTCAAAATACTGGGATTACAGGCATGGGTACCCATGCCCAGGATGGGAAGGAAAATGGAAAAGAAAGGAAAGGGAGGGAGGAGGGAATAGGGAAAACAGGGAAAGAAGAAGTGGAGGGAGAAAAGAAAAACAGTATTAACAATATTTTATCAAGACTATACATTTTAATATAATGTTCTCAGAGAGTATATTTTTATTGTTGTAAGTGTACTACTGGATACTTGTGCCACAATTTATTTGTTTAACTACTGTTGACAGGTATTTGGGTCATTATCTGGTTCTGGCTAAAACAAAGACTGCTTATAAAAACATGCATTTTAGTGCTCAAATGTACTTGTTTCTATAAGTCGTATATATGGGGTATATGTGACTTGCTGGTCATATACATATGTCCAATATTCATAAATATACCCAATTTCCTAGTGGGTATACCAATTTATATGCCCATAAGCAATGTGTGAGAGCTACACTTGCATGTTATACTTAGTAATGCTTCATATATCACTTAAAAACTCACCATTCTGGCAGCTACTTTGAGTAACAGTATTCCAAGTATGGTTTTTTTGTTTTTGTTTTTTTGAATTAGAGTCTCACTCTTTAACCCAGGTTGGAGTGTAGTGGCACGCGTGTTCACGGTCACCCCAGCGTAAACCCACTGGGCTCCAGCGATCCTTCTGCCTCAGTCTTCCAAGTAGCTGCAACTACAGACGTGCACTACCATGTCCAGCTATTTTTTTATTTTACTGTAGAGACAAGGTCTTGTCAAGTTGCCTGGGCTGGTCTTGAACCCGCAGGCTCAAGCAATTCGCTCGCCTCGGCCTCCCAAAGTGCTGGGATTATAGGCTGAGCCACCAAGCCCGATCCAAGTGTGGTTTTAATATGTATTTCCATAATAACTAAAAAGGTTAGGCCTTTTCCATTAATTTATTAGGTATTTGGATATTTTCTTTTTTACAGAATCTGTTCAAGTTTTTTCCACATTTTTATATTGGGATTCTGTATTTTTATTATTGATTTTTGTTATTTGTATGCCTAGATACAGTCTTTTGGTATATAGGTATTGCAAATATCCCATTCAGTTACTTATCCTTTTATTCTTTTTTAAAGTAGGAGTCTCACTCTCTTGACCAGGCTGGAGTGCAGTGGCACACTCATGGCCAATGCAGTCTCAGCCTGTTGGGCTCCGGTGATCAGTTCCACTTCAGCCTTCCAAGTAGCTGGAACTACAGGCACATGCCACCACACCCAGCTAATTTTTTGATTTACTGTATAGAGAAGGTCTTGCCAAGTTGCCCAGGCTGGTCTCATACCCCTGGACTCAGGCAATCCTCTGCCTCCCAAAGTGCTGAGATTATAGGCATGAGCCACTGTACCTGGCTTTTATTCTCTTAATGGTATTTCTTGAAAAAAGGAAGTTCTCAATTTTATTGAAGTTCAACTTAATAATATTTTCCTTAATGTGTTTTATGTGCCACTTAAGAACTCTTTGTCATCTCAAAATTATTAAACTATTCTTCCACATTTTCTCTAGAAGGTTGTCTGTTGTCTTTCACATTCAGATCTATAACCTGCCTGAAATTAATTTGTGTGTGTGGTACGAGATAGAAATGATGATGCAATTTTTCTCCATTTGGCTATCCAGTACCATTAATTTTTTTTTTTTTTTTGAGTTGGAGTCTCACTCTGTCGCCCAGACTGGAGTGCAGTGGCCGCTCCCGGCCACCGCAATCTCGACCTGCTGGGCTCCGGTGATCCTTCCGCCTCAGCCTTCCAAGTAGCCGGAATTACAGGCATGTACTACCACGCCTGGCTGATTTTTTGATTTATTGTAGAGATGAGGTCTCGCTGCCCAGGCGGGTCTTGAACCCACGGGCTCAGGCAATCCACTCACCTCAGCCTCCCAAAGGCGCGGGATTACAGGCTGAGCCACCAAGCCCGGCTTCCCAGTACCATTAATTTAAAAGATTATCCTTTCTCTTCTGTACTGCAATGTGGTCTTTTATAAATCAAGTAATCATATGTGTGTAGGTCAATTTAAGGCCTCAAGACTGTTCCATTGATCCATTTATTTATTTTTATGTAGATACATTGTCTTAATTACTGTTGTTTTATAAGTCCTACTATCATAATATAAATCCTCTAACTTTGTTCTTCAATATAATCTAGACTATTCTTGGACCTCTGCACTCTGTATGTATTTGAATCATCATGTCAAGTTTCAAAAAAACAACAATGAACCTTTTGGGATTATGATTATGATAAATCTATAAATCAATTTAAGAGAAACTGACATCTTTACAATATACTATAAATATGGACTGTTACCTTTGTATTGGTTTTCAACTGCTGCTGTAAAATATTACCACAAACTTAGTGGCTTAAAACAATACGAATTTATTATATTACAGTCCTGTGCTTCAGAAGACAGAAGTTCGGCACGAGACTCACTAGGCTAAAATAAAGATGTCAATAGGGCTGCATTCCATTCTAGAGGCTCTAAGGAAAAACATGTTTCCTAGTCTTTTCCAGCTTCTAGTGGCCACCCATTCTTTGCTCATAGCCCCTTTTCAAAGTCAGAAAGGCTGCATCAATATAACCCTTCTTTTAGCATATCTCCCTCTTTCTCTCCCTGTCTTTCTCACCACAGTTAGGAAAGATCTCTGCTCTTAAGAATAAATGTCATCACACCGGGCCCACTTAAATACTGCAGGCTAATCTCCCCATCTCTGAGTCCTTAACCTAATACACCAGCAAAGCCCTTCTAACATGTAAGATAACATATTCACAGGTTCTGGGGATTCAGGTGTGGATATTTTGGGGGGATGTTATTATGCCTACCATATTCTTGAACATTTGATATTTTTTGATAAATGTACAGGAGAGAAAACCCCAATTATGTTTGGTACGCTATTTGTGCAAAAAGGAGTAACAATAAAGATATTTCCTCAGAAACAATTTCCAAAATACTCTACTAATACTTGCAAATGTTAGATTTTAAATATCCAAAACACTTAGTCAAGTATGAGATCTTGGCAAATAATAAGAGCACTAATTCAATATTATATCACTAAATTTACCAGTTAGCTCTACCAATTTTAAGACACAAATAGAAAATAAAACAGTTTAGTATAAGTCTGCTTATTCATATATCAATTGAACATATAATTTTAAAAGCATATCTGAGTATGTGATAAAGCAAGTACAGTAAAATGTAATGATAAAATTTAAGTGGTAGGTAGATCATGAATATTCACTGAAGAAGTCTTTTAGCTTTCCATAATAAAATGTTAGGAACACATATATAAGCAACTCGCAAGCATATGTTTATTCACAAATTAGAGTTATAGAAAAATTAGTGCCATTCCAAGTCTTTGATAAGAATGACAAAATAGGAAAAGCCATATCAGAAGCAATATGCTATACTGTGTGAGAGCTACAAGATGCCTCAGACACAAACTTGTGATCAAAATGTTCGTACACTGAATATGAGAAAAAGCAGTTTTAAAAGTAAAAAAGCCCACAGATCCTACTACCAAAGATAATATTTTAAATGAGATTAAAAATAATTGACCAATGTTCACATTATCAAGCAAGTTAGGCCTGCTTATAGTGGTCATCTATATTACAGTCATATATTTTATAAAGCCACCAATTAAATTCTGTGTTAAAAATTATGACTGCTAATACAGCAATTGATTAATTTTAAAGGATCCATTATAGGCTTATCAGATTGCATATGTTTTAAATACATAAAAATTAGTCACTAGCTCTCAGGAAGAGACTAATTTCCATTTATTCCAACATAGCTGTATTGTAGACAAGTTATTCTTTATTTAAAACGGAAGATCATGATAGATATAAATGTACTAAACCATTCTGACCCTCTCAGGGATGCTTTTACAAGGAAAGGAAAATAAGGAGAAATTAAAATAACCACTATTAAATCAACTTGTATATTTACAAAGAACTATAAAAATGAGAAAATATAAGTTATCTTTAATTTAGAGCAAGAGAATTAGTTTAACCAGGAAAATAATTAAAATCTGATAAGCTCTATCTTAATGTTCGCTCTTGGTAGCTTAATCTTTCTTGCAGCTTCTAAAGAATAAAAGTTAAGAAACAGCCGTGTAGCTAAGATGACCTCCTAACTGGAGAGACTGTATACTTTGAAAAATTTAGTTACATCTTTATGATTCAATTTTCTATTCACACTGTCTTAATTCTTAGGGAGGACCTTTTAAAAAGACAATATTGAAGATAAATAGCAAATTATGATGGCTTTTGTAACATAAATTGTTTCTGTATGTCTATGTGCTGCTCTATCATAAGTCATAACAAGATAAACAACATAATCATCTACATTCCGCTTTCCTATTTCCTATGCCATGATTTTGAGAAGCTTCAGCAGGAACTCATGCTCTATCTTACCATCTTCCAGGAGGTATCCAGGATAATGTAGTTCTGTCTTTTTATAATATATGGCCTTGCTGCCTAGATACAACTCTAGCTATTCCATGATTGGAAAAGACGTAGAACTGCTGGTACTACTACCCTCTGTACTTGTCATTTACCTTAAACATACCTGGAAAAGGAGATTCAAAAATTCATTGGCAAGAACATTTTTCACACTCCAGATCTGATAGTCTTCCAGAGTAAGATGGCCCATCTGAAAGAGAGACATTCAAAAAGATCTCAAGTTAAGAATGTCCTCATTTTTTCAACAGCATTTGAATAAACTCTGGTTTATAAAATTTATATTTGTCATGCTTCTGAAAGCAAACCAATAACTCACAGTAGCTGCTATAGGCTCATCTGGAAAGTAGGGCACCTAGTGCAAATTTAAAAGTGGCAAAACTTATACAAATGTCATTTGTAATTCTGCTCAAGTAGTCAATGGTAACAAAGACTTGGGAAATAACCTGAAATATTTCTGCTTCAAGGTTTACCTATGGAAAATCACAAAAGGACCTGAATAGGCAAAATGAATTATTTACTAATTTTGTTTTTTATATATTTTATGTATTTATTTTTTGTAGAAATGGGAGTCTTACTATATTACCTAGCCTGGTCTTAAACTCCTGGCCTCAAGCGGTTCTCCTGCCTTGGCCTCGCAAAGTACTGGGATAACAAGTGTGAGCCACTGTAACTGACCAGAATACTTACTAATTTTGAAAACAAAAAGCAGACTTTCTGGATTACACTTTTTTGTCTTAACAGTTTTCCAAGACCTTCTTAGAAACATCTGACAACACTAACAAACATCTGAGAGATTTTTTTAAAAATTTTTTTGAGTTGGAGTCTCACTCTGTCGCCCAGACTGGAGTGCAGTGGCTGCTCCTGGCCACTGCAGCCTCGACCTGCTGGGGCTCCAGCGAGCCTTCCAAGTAGCTGGAATTACAGGCATGCGCTACCACGCCCGGCTAATTTTTTTTTTATTTATTGTAGAGATGAGGTCTCACCAAGTTGCCCAGGCTGGTCTTGAACCCGTGGGTTCAGGCAATCCACTCACCTCAGCCTCCCAAGGCACGGGATTACAGGCTGAGCCACCGAGCCCGGCTCGTCTGAGAGATTTAAAGAAACTTAATATATGTCAAGAATGAATATCTACATTATATTTCCCCAAAATACAATTTAAAATAAGTTTTATATATTGAGTAAAGCAACATTTTTATCACGTCAATATATACCAAAAATTATATATATAGAAAGAAGCGAATATATATTTTTTCTTATCAGGCAGAAATATAACCAACTGTTATTACTTTGTGTTCAACAATTTCCTAACAATCCTAGACAAATAATTTTTTTTTAAAAAAGAGACAAGGTCTCACTCTGTAGCCCAGGCTAGAATGCAGTGGTGCAATCATAGCTCAAAGCAGCCTTAAATTTCTAGGCACAAGCAATCCTTCTACCTCAGCCTCCCACATGGCTTGGATTATAGTAATAATTTTTAGCGTTTATTATTTAACAATATTGATACGTTTTCTTTTTATTATATAGTACCATATATATGATATATAAGACTTTAAATCATCCTTATTGACTTTCTTGACATGCTATCTATCTAGATATGTTAATATCAATCTAAATGTTGTTTAAAAATAGAAAAGCAATTTTTTTCTCTGTACTTTCCTAATTCCTCTATAATGTGGAAGGTAAGTTAGTGTAAATTCATTCCTGTATGTTTGCCTAAAAGCATTTAATAGCAAAATTATACAATCTATGGCAATGCAAATATATAACTAGGAAATATGGATACAGACATTTAGGACTATAGCTATAGGTACTTATTAAATTTCACCAACACAGTAAAAAATATTGTCTATTTTCTTTAAAAAATTTTACACAGCTGGGCTTGGTGGCTCAGCCTGTAATCCCACGCCTTGGGAGGCTGAGGTGAGTGGATTGCCTGAGCCCGCGGGTTCGAGACCCACCTGGGCAACTTGGTGAGACCTCATCTCTACAATATATCAAAAAATTAGCCGGGCGTGGTAGCACACGCCTGTAGTTCCAGCTACTTGGAAGGCTGAGGTGGAAAGATCACTGGAGCCCAGCAAGTCAAGGCTGCGGGGGCTGGGAGCGGCCACTGCACTCCAGTCTGGGCAACAGAGTGAGACTCCAACTCAAAAAAAAAAAAAAAAAAAATTTTACACAACTAAATCAATAAAGATGTTCTAGTAACAATTTTTTATCCTCACTTTCTTTTATGCCCCAAAAGAAAAATATATACATTCTTTTTTTTTCAATCAGCTTTCTCAGTTTGAACACACATTATTTTTCAAAGAGAAAAAAACTGACCTGCAGAATCACTTAAGCGTATAGTCAACTGTCTTTATAATCAAATAACAGACATATGAGTGATTAAATAGTTAAGAAAATTTCTGGGCATGTGGGTGCATGCCTGCAGGCCCTGCTATTCAGGAGGCTGAGTCAGGAGGATCAACTGAAATCAGGAGGGGAGGTCAAGACCAGCCTGGGCGACATAGTGAAATCTACAAAAAATGTTTTTAAAAATTAGACAGGCATGGTGGCATGCTCTGATAGTACCAGCTACAGGAGGCTGAGGCAGAAGAGAATATTGCTTGAGCACAGGAATTCAAGGCTGCAGTGAGATATGATCGCCCCACTGTGTTCTACCCTGGGCAACAGTGAGACTCTGTCTCTTAAAAAACAAAGATAAAGGAATCATGTAGTATGTATCTTTTTGTTTGGCTTCTTTTGTTCAATATGATTAGCTTTACCATAACTAAAACAGAAGAAAAAAAGATGACAAACTATGCATGTCAAGGGTCATGTCTACTTGATTCTTACAAAATGCCTAGCACACATTTATAATAAATGTTTTCATATATGATATATTACACTTCATAGAGTTGTTTAAAGATAGAATGGGCAGCTGGGTACAGTAGCTCATGCCTGTAATCTCAGCACTTTGGGAGGCTGACATGGGAGGTTTGCTTGAGTCTAGGCATTCAAGACCAGCCTGGATAACATATTGAGACCTCATCTCTATAAAAAATTTAAAAATTAGCCAGGCATGGTGGTTCGTGTTGGTATTCTCAGCTACTCAGGAGGCTGAGGTGGAAGGATCGCTTGAGCCCAGGAGGTTGAGGCTGTGAAAAGTTGTGAGTTTGCCACCGCATGCCAGCCTGAGAGACAGTGAAACTCTGACTTAAAAAAAAAAAAAAAAAAAAAAAAAAAAAGGGTTATCTTTAGAGATAACTTGGAGGTGTTTTAGCCACAGGCCCAGTAAGTACTTGGTGGGGAAGATATAGAAGAGATTCAAGCATGTATATAAGCTATATATCCCAATTCAGAGTGTATGATATTTTTAGAAAAAGATAAATTAGTCCTAGCTAGACTCACCTTTGTGGTGTCATGTGCATTCAATATGCCTTCTACAATGTCAGAGAGATCCATGTGTAATTCCTTTAAAAACAACAACCCAAAAAAGTAATTATAAAAGAATGAGTAGATGTACTTTTTTGTTATTCAGTGGCTAAAGTTTACTGTATGTGGTGCAATGTTTAATTGTCACAGATTCTCATATTTGCTATAAAAATTGACATAATTTTCCTATTGTTTCATTCTTATTTTATACAGTAAAGTTCAGTTTACTAGGTTTTTGTAAGTCAAATTCTCTTCCCAATTTTACATCTTCAGCTATGAATACTTTGAGTAGCATAACACAGTAACTAAAAACATTAACAAATTATTTTCTCCTTTTTTCTTTAACCTCCATTTTCCTGTTGGAATTTTATGTGAAACAAGACATACACAACCAGAACTTACAGGGATATCATCAGTACGGTTGTCCTTCCAAACTTCCAAAAGTGCAACTACCATATCTCTCAGTTCAACCCTGGAGAGAACTCCATCGCGGTCAACATCAAACACCTTGAAGCAAACTAATGAAAAGAAACTCTTATAGAGGAAAATTATTTTATATTCTGAAGTATAACACATCTTACTGCCCTTTTATAATTATTTAGTATCTCAAGCAAGTTAATGTATTCTGGGACAGTTTTCATCTGGAGCAAACTAAACTATGTAATTACAGTTCTCAGGACTGTAGGACTTCTTGCACATCATAAATCTATTTTTCTAAATCATTATCCAGATCAGGAAGCTCTATCTTTTAGCCAAATCTAGGGCTAAATTCCTTACAAACCAAGGTTATATTACAATACCTCACAAGTTTTCAGAATGTAATGCAAGCCCCTAACATTAATTTCTTTTTTTTTTTTGAGTTGGGAGTCTCACTCTGTCGCCCAGACTGGAGTGCAGTG